ATCCTGAATTCTTTCCCAAGTTCGAACACGAGCCCATAAGGCCAACCATAACACATCTTTAAAAATTCCTTTGCTCCAGTTACTACTTACGGTATTTTTCCGTAGCTGGGATAACTCCCCAGTATGCAAATAACCAGAAACCTCACGAGTAGTTAACCATGCAACCCATTCATAGGCGGTGGGACTCTCCCACTTAGCTTGAAGCCACTATTATAAAACTGTGGAGTTCACCAGGATTCTTAATCTCTTATTGATACAACCTTGCGTAATCAATCGCCAGCATTCTCGATATCTTACTGTAGAAACCCAATTTGATACTCTAAATCATTAACAACATTCACTCAACAGTTCCCCTTGCTGCATAACCCGTAGAACTCTTCGCAGAAGCCTCGCCAACCACGCGACCGCCAAACTGCTCACAGGGAATAACCCTCTTGAGTCCAAGCTCACTCCTTAGCTGTACCAGTTCACTTACCCCTCGTGGACATTCATTATGTGTGCGACAACATCCTTCCACTTCAAAGTCATGCTACATCCCCCTTTATTTAAGCGGCTCCTTTCCGTTATATTAAATCCCCGGCCGCACAAGAATCCCTACTTCAAATTAGATCCGAAGATGCCAATAACCCAGCACCAATATTCTCAAGTCGTTCCAGACTCCCTTAAGGTGCATAGTTTTCTTATTACCAAGCCCCTACGCAGCTCCGCTGCTCTCCCACTTTGGGCAAACTCACTTCTTTAATCAACTGCTCGGCCTGTGCTTCCCAAGCCTGACCTTTTAGAAGTTTAAAACTCCGCCTGACACTTCCCATATGTCTTTCTCATCTCTTGCTGCTCAATTGTTGCCTTAATAAAATTCTTCTTCATAGAACTTGAATCCACAGATCGCTACTGACTTAAACCCCTCCGAAGGTCATCTTTCTCGAACCGCCAACATTTAAAATACTGGTTCAATCCTAAACCACCGCACCATGTGATATCTGACGGTTGCATCTTCAATAGTATTTCACAATATCCCGTCATAAGGCGAATTGTAGCAGATTATAATACCGACAAGCTTAAAGCGTTCAATTAGGACAACGACACCCCCATGTAGAGGAGAACTCCGCCACACTTGCAATTACCACGATTCATTACTTCCACCAGTCCACATCTGACCATCCTTAGTTCGATTGACTTTCCCCCGCCGAGAATAAAATACGGAATCCCTTGATTACACACTGAGTAAACCTCCCTTCAATTCATTCACTGCCCCGACACCTGGGCAAACATCCTACCATCACAACAACACTGCGGAATAATCACTCGTAAGCATCATGGCAACCTGTGCCTAGCCTCGAGGCTCTTAGAAGTTCTGTTACTGAGCTGAAACAATAGAATATCCTTCCATAATGTGACTATAATAGTCCAAGCACCTATACCGGGAGATCATCCCGCACCACATTTGTAGTGCCATTGCAATCCTTCAATTTTCGATTTATAACAAGCGCTCGCGTCGCGTAAGATTGAGTGGAAAGGAATCAAAGGCATAAGCCTCAAAGGAATCGAACCGCACGATGAGGAAATCAAGAAGGGAAGTATTCCTAACAGCCCTGTAGTCTCCCTAGGATAAGTACAGACGTCTCCGTACAGATCCGCGAGACTCTACTAGACTTGCTCATGACTCGTGAGACCGACGGGAACCTAGTGCTCTGATACCATGTTGTCACGACCCAAAATCCACTAAGGGTCATGGTGGCGCCGGGCACCTCTGTCAGGCCAGCCTAACTAAATTATCAATTAAATCCTCTTTTAATACTTTTGAAAATCTCAGGTTTTTCCTCCCATTTTTCATAAATAAAAGATCAATACTTGAATTCAAATTTAAATAATAACAATTATTACACATCTTTTGAAAACCATCCCCAGAACCCAGTGTCACAAGTGCATGAGCATCTACTGATAAGGATATAAAAGACAATACAACATCCGTCCGGAATACAATGGACAGAAAGGAAATACAATTTACTAGAAATGGACTTTAAAAGCTGTGGGTCGCCTTGCATACTGCGACTAACCTAGTCCCCGAATCGTCCGTGCTGCTATTCCCAGTAGGCCGCTAAAGTAACATATACATGTGCAACAAAAATGCACAGAAGTGTAGTATGAGTACGTAATCAACGTGTACTCAGTGAGTATCCCGCCTAATCCCGAAGGGGTAGAGACGAGATGGCCAACTTCGACACTCACTAGAGGTCAATTAACAATATTCTATAAGTGCGAGGATAATCATGGATTTATATATAGAAGTTTCTAATTGTGAGGCCAGGAAACAGGTAAACACCTTCAATAATAAATCAAGGGCTTTCAAGGTTTATTCTTTATTATATTATCAGTTTATATCAAGCCACGAAGGGACAGTCCCGCATTTAGAATTCTTAAGCAACAGATAAACATGCGCAAATCACACCGAGGCGACGGCCCGCTCCAACAGGAATGTAAACTGTGCACTGCCGAGGGTCGAGCGGCCCGAACCAATAGATGCATCTATTTAATCTACCGAGGCGTTCGGCCCGTTCCATAAATAAACACATACCCTGCTCGCGAATCATACATGCGACGCAGGTGCACATAAAATACATGCTCAAGTAGTCAAATAAGAATTTATCGGAGCTACTTTATCAAATAAAAACCAAATCCTCTTTTAACAATTCAAGAAAATGAAGTTTAATCCTTTTGAAGTTCATTTACAAGTTCAACTTGATTTTTAACAATTCAAATGTCAATAAGATTTCAAATATCCCAAGTATAGCATGCTTTTGGGTCCAAGACTACCCGGACAATAGCATAATAGTAGCTACGCACGGACTCTAGTCACCTAGTGCGTACGTAGCCCCCACAAATAGGAGCACATAACCAATTTAACTCACCTATGGGGTAAATTACCCCTCACAAGATTAGAAAGGAGACTCACCTCGCTCCGAAGACTCATAGCCGGTATTCTACATTCTTCTGAAGGCTCGAACCGACGCACAATGCACCAAAACTAGCCAATTAACGACAAACTAATGAAAACATGCTCAAATACTTGTTAAAAATTCAGATTATACAAATTCCCAACTCTTTTTGGTGAAATGACCAAAATGCCCTCGGGCCCACGTGCCCGGAATCCAAAATTTCTCGAAGATAAAGGTTACCCATGACCTTAGGAACTCAAATATATAATTTTCTCTAAATTCCATACCCAAAATCGTGGCTAAATTCCAAGAATATGATTTTCTAGGTTTTTTTCACCAAAACCCCAATTTTTATACTAATTTTCATATCTAATTCCATGGTATAGTCTTGTATTTAACTTGGAAATAAGTAGGAGTAGCTTACCTTAACATTGATGATGAAATATCTCCTTGAAGCTCTCCAAGAATCGCCCAATGAAGTGAAGAAAATGAGAGAAATGGCCAAACATTCGATTTAAAAATAATGCTTCTGCCCCCAGCTATTTTCGCTCTTGCGGAACTATTATCGCTTCCGCGGTCACGCTTTTGCGGACAAAACTCTGCTTTTGCGGACAAGGGGGCTCCAGCCATTTTCGCTTTTGCGGTCAGCCTACCGCTTCTGCGGTTCCACATCAGCGGATCAAGGGCCGCTTTTGCGGTCCCGGCTGCCCTCACGCTCGACCGTTTCTGCGGCTTCTTTCCCGCTTCTGCGGGGCTGCTTCTGCAGTCCCATCTCCGCAGAAGCGGAAACACCAGCAACCAGCTACTCAGCTATTTCCAAAAATCCATTTTCGATCCGTTAACCACCCGGAATCCACCCGAGGCCCCCGGGACCCCAACCAATCACACCAACCAGTCCCCAAACACATTACGGACTTGCTCGAGGCTTTAAATCATATCAAACAACGCTAAAATCATGAATTACACCCCAATTCAAGCTTTACGAACTTTAGAATTTCAAACTTCTATTTCCGATGTTTAAACCTATCAAATCACGTCCGATTGACCTCAAATTTTGCACATTAATCATATTTGACATTACGGACCTACTCCAACTTTCGGAATTGGATTCCGACCCCGATATCAAAAAGTCAACCTCCGGTCAAACTTCCCAAAAACCTTCAAATTTCTATCTTTAGCCAAATGGCTTCAAAATGACCTACGGACCTGCGAATTCACTTCCGATCGCGCTTCCAACTCTAGAATCACCATACGGAGCTATTCCCTGACTCGGAATCCCAAACGGACATCGATAACACTGAAATGCACTTCAAGCCAAACTTAAGGAATTCCTTCTAAAATGTTAACTTCCACATTAGGCGCCAAAATGCTTCCGGGTTATTCGAAACCCGATCCGGGATACGCCCATGTCCGAAATCATCATACGTACCTGCTGGAACCTTCAGATCCCGATTCCGAAGTCGTTTACTCAAAATTCCAATCCTAGTTCATTCTTTCAACTTTAAGCTTCCAAAATAAGAATTCTCCTTCTAAATTAGCTCTGGACTTCCCGAAATTCGATTTCGACCACGCGTACAAGTCATAATACCGGAAATGAAGCTGTTCATGGCCTCCGACTGCTGAACGGAGCGCTAGCACTTGAAATGACCGGTCAGGTCGTTACAGTATACATGGGAAAACAAGACTTATTTTTTATAAAATTGCTATGTGATTCCTAAGGCATGAACATGATACAAGTTTTCATCAAATAAATAAATGCGGGTAAACTTTTTTCGTTATTGGTAAACCATTATACACAAAGTATAAACTATTTTGTACAAAAAAGCAAGTACTAGAATAAACCGGAGGACGAACCATTAGAGTAGATGTAAACCTTTAAACATGAATAGTATTTATTATTTTGGAACTAACAATTATTTACTAATTTTATTTTATAACATAAATACAATTTTTAAATATTATTTATGTTATTTTTAGAAAATTAATTCTATATAAAAAAGATTAGTACTATAAGTTTGTTTACGGTCCCTAGTTCCCACTCTTCATTCCCCTCCTCGCAAGAAAAAGGAAAAATAGAAAGGCTAAAACAAGAAAACCAACTTACTTAAAATTTAAAAACGCAAATCCGCCCCCTGTTTCTTGTTAATCCAAACACTATATAAATCTTCTCAACTTCTCTCTCTGTCATGCTCTCACTCAGAACCAAAAAACAAAAACAGCAAACCTTCATATATTCTTCATATCACTTTCAATGGATTTCAAGGTCGGTGCAATCGACGCCGTTACAATCCAAACTCCCACCGTTCCGTTCAATTCCCCATGCTCAACTCTAGGCCGTCACCTCGCACGCCGTTTAGTCCAAATCGGCGTCACCGACGTTTTCTCCGTTCCCGGTGACTTCAACTTAACACTTTTAGACCACCTCGTATCTGAACCTGAACTTAACCTCGTAGGTTGTTGTAATGAACTTAATGCTGGTTATGCCGCTGACGGTTATGCTAGAGCGCGTGGTGTCGGTGCGTGTGCTGTTACGTTCACTGTAGGGGGATTAAGTGTTTTGAATGCTATAGCGGGTGCTTATAGTGAGAATTTGCCGTTGATATGTATTGTTGGGGGACCTAATTCGAATGATTATGGAACCAACAGGATTTTACATCATACTATTGGGCTGCAGGATTTTAGTCAGGAGCTCCGTTGCTTTCAAACTGTCACTTGCTACCAGGTCTGTATTACTGTTCTTATTTATCCCGTTTTATGTTTATCGATGAAAGTCATTTTCCAGAAAATGACTTGTTTTCTCAAAAATATTTTCCTGGAAGAATATTTTTCTAGTGTTCGGTTGAAGAAACATTTAGTATTAATGATGATAATAATGATAGCAAATCCGATAGTATTTTCATGCAATAGGTGTAAGTGGTGGTTAAAGCAGTGATATCGGGTTAAGAGTTAGTAAAAAATAATGAAGGTAAATGATCAACCCAAAAGTAAGGGAAGTCATTTTCCGCTCTTGGTGGACCAAAACTTGTTTTCTCTAGAAAACATCTTTCAAATAATATTTTCCATCGCAGCATAGAGATTGTATTTTGTATTTGCACGAAATTTTGTGTAATAAGTTTGTTGAGTTTTTGCAGGCTGTGGTGAATAATTTGGAGGATGCACATGAACTGATCGACACTGCGATATCTACAGCTTTGAAAGAGAGTAAGCCGGTGTATATAAGCATAGGCTGTAATCTGCCGGGGATTCCACACCCTACTTTTAGTCGTGAACCAGTTCCATTTGCCCTCTCCCCCAGGTATTATATTCTTGAGCCTTTGTTTATACTTAAAAGACTTAATCTTTTATGATTGTAGATCTCCGTTTTTCCTTATTGAAGTCATTTACATAGATAACATTCTGTTCATTCTGTTGAATTGTATTGAAATATGTAGTGTGTTGTCGATGCTCTTTTAGCTAGTCGTTCATGGATCCAAGATTTAAAGGTGGTGGATGCGTCTCTTATCATATATACTTACTTTAATTTTATTTTATTTAAAAAATTTAGATTGATATGTAAGGTCCAGGTCTTACTTTTCCAAGAAAATGTCAGAAATAACCAAGTACAAAACTACCGAGCAAGTAGATACATAATATCGAGTGTGATTAGACAACCAAAAGTGAGACAATGATAGAGCAGAGCGGCTTGTGCTTGACTGACAGATTGATCGATGATAAAACGAACAACTAAATGAAATAGTTGATGCATGTATATCCACTCTCCGGGATCTGCCTCTGTTTATTTGTTTGAGTTGCTTATTTTGGTGTCTTTTCCTCGGTGTAGACTAAGTAATATGATGGGCTTAGAAGCAGCAGTGGAGGCAGCACCTGAGTTCTTGAACAAAGCAGTAAAGCCAGTGCTTGTCGGTGGGCCAAAAATGCGGGTTGCAAAGGCATGCGATGCTTTTGTTGAGTTGTCTGATGCCTGTGGTTATGCTGTCGCAGTGATGCCATCCGCTAAAGGGTTGGTTCCCGAACATCATTCACATTTCATTGGGACTTACTGGGGTGCAGTGAGCACGGCATTCTGTGCTGAAATTGTGGAGTCTGCTGATGCATACTTGTTTGCTGGACCTATTTTTAATGACTATAGTTCTGTTGGTTATTCTCTGCTTCTCAAGAAAGAGAAAGCGATCATTGTCCAGCCTGATCGTGTGACTATTGGGAATGGACCAGCATTTGGTTGTGTTCTGATGAGGGATTTCCTTGCTGCATTAGCAAAGAGATTAAAGCACAATCCGACTGCTTATGAGAATTATCATAGGATTTATGTTCCTGAGGGACATCCTCTTAAATGTGAGCCTAAGGAGGCATTAAGGGTTAATGTGCTATTTCAACAGATTCAGAATATGTTGTCTGGTGACAGTGCTGTGATTGCTGAGACGGGGGACTCGTGGTTTAATTGCCAGAAGCTGAAATTGCCACAAGGATGTGGGTGAGCATCAAATCAATAGAAATCTGTAAAATCACTGCTGTTTGGTATTGCGTTCCATGATCGTAATAATGACTTCTGCTGATCTTCGCTGTCTTTCAGGTATGAGTTCCAAATGCAGTATGGATCCATCGGTTGGTCTGTTGGTGCAACTCTTGGTTACGCACAAGCTGCACCTGAAAAGCGGGTGATTGCTTGCATCGGTGATGGTAGCTTTCAGGTAAACAGACTCTGTTTGAATTGAATGAAGGAGAATGAATTGTTGGTGTTCCCCGTGTGTCTAATCCAACTTTATGGCAAAATACATGCAGGTGACTGCTCAGGATATTTCAACGATGCTGAGGTGCGGACAAAGGACCATTATCTTCTTGATAAACAATGGTGGTTATACAATTGAAGTTGAGATCCATGATGGACCTTACAATGTGATCAAGAATTGGAATTACACCGGATTAGTCGATGCAATCCATAATGGAGAAGGAAAATGTTGGACAACCAAGGTGAGTTAAACATCAAAATTTCAATCATAACTTTTGATTTTACTCAGATGTTGAATTAAAAGGTTTCATCTTATGGAAACTATTGCATGTCACTGTTCTACGTAGGTTCGTTGTGAAGAGGAGCTGGTGGAAGCAATTGAAGCAGCAAATGGAGCCAAGAAAGACTGCCTATGCTTCATTGAAGTGATTTTCCATAAAGATGACACTAGCAAAGAACTGCTTGAATGGGGTTCAAGGGTCTCAGCAGCTAATAGTCGTCCACCAAACCCACTGTAAAATCTCTAGTTGTTCAAAATATGTATTTACCTGGTTTGCTACAAAAATGTTGCCACTAATGTTGCCATGTTTAATTTCCGAGTTCCTAGGTTCCCCGGGGGTATTCCACTATGTTTGCCTGTTACGGTACATTTGTAATACCGAAAAGGGCTAGATGTGTCCCTCTACTATCAGAATTTAGTTATAAGTAGCCTCTGTTATACTAATCGAAGGTTTTTGTCCCTGCTGTTACTCATTTAAATATATCTACCCCTCCATCTAACGGTCAACTCAGACCCACTTTTAAAATGACATATGGCAGCCATCTGTTTATTCGGGTCATTAGCAACCCACAACATTAAAATACAACACATCTATCCGGATCCAGAAACATATTATGGCCCTACAAAAATTGGAGCATTGCAGGTGAAGAAAAGAATAACACCAAGACAAAGGCTCCTCTATTTGCTCTTCAATTCACATCGACTTTAACATTCAATGAACTTCTGAGCAAATCTTTGGAAAATCAATTTAGTCTAAGCCATTGGAATTTTAAACTCCAAGACCCATCTCCACTGATGTATGTAAAATGTTGGAATAAATTATATGACGAAGAATATTAGGAGAGAAAGGAGGAGGGGAAGGAGAGGAGAGGGGTTTCTGGGGTGTTATTCAGGTTCGGGTCTAGACCGGGTGGATTTGGATCTAAAAGGAAACATAGTTTAGGTGTTTAAAATGCTGTCACGTGTCTATCAGAATGGGTCCTTAGATGGAGGGGTAGATATACTTAAATGTGTAACGGCAGGGACAAAGATCTTCTAATAGTATAACGGAGGCTACTTATAACTAATTTCTAATAGTAGAAGGACACACCTAGCCCTTTTCCGTTGTAATATTGTCCTTTTCTCTCGTTAGCTTGTTTATATAATGGCTTTTCCTTTGGAACTCTTTTGACTTAGTTTTTCGGTAGTGATGGATAACAAAAACTTATTTTTGATAATTGAGAAATCTATAAAGGCTATTGGGTACAAAACTCAGTGAAATAATGGGTCCGATTCTCTACTTTTCTCCACTTAAACATCAAGCGAAAACACAGAGTTTGATTAACTTAGAGTTCTCTTATTATTGACCCAAAAAAAAAATTATTAGCATTTGCGGTGGTTGTTTCCACTAGTCCAGGAAAATATGTCGCTTTTTTCAATCGATTCACGTGGAGTGGTGGAAGTCACTCCCAGCTGACCAATTTCACATGGAAGATAAACTGTAATGACACTTGTGAATGAATTCTCGAGTTTCAGTAAATTTGACACGAATTTTTTATTTGAGATCTTGGATCCTATTTCGGCTAATGACATGATGGGAAAGTTTTCATTTTTAAGTCACTGTAACAAATAGCCAAACCCCTTACTATATTAATATGAACTAGAACTCAATTACAGATTCTGATAATAATTCAACACTAACTAATGAATTACAATGAGAAATATAAGGATTAGAGATAAAGAAGGGAAGATTAGAAGTTTAGACTCAAAGCAAGGATATGACAGGAACAGATATTTTCTTCTTCAACGATAGGCATAAATCAAAAATCACAGACCACTAACCCTTTTAATAGAACCGCTCTTACACCCACTATTCATCATGGATCCCAAATTAACACGGCCCTATTGCTTGTTCTCGGCCCAATAGTTCCTTGTGTGACATTGGGTTGGGCTTTATTCATAAGAATACTCCCGTCCTGAATAAGAACCTTGTCCTGAAGGTTCGAGCCAAGAACAATGATATTCACAAGCTCCCATCGAATTAGATCAATACCAAGGCATGATGTATGACTTGAGAAAATTATGTGGACTAGTACACCTATAAACCTTGCGTGCCATATTTTTGAAGCTGTGAACAGTAAGCTAAATGAAAGTTTCCCTGCAAACATTCCCGTAGCGAACCTCCACAAAATCATGGTCTCAGTTAAATGGAAACTGTTTATTGTGTTGGCAAAATGCACTTCGCATTGGACATGGCTGTGATAATAAAAATGTTGTAGTTCTTGTGAAAGCTCCATAGGCCACAACAATACTGGAATAAAAAACATAATGGAGATTACGATAATAATATCGTTGACATGATTAAGCTCCACAACAACTTCGTAATATGCACCATACTCAATTTACACTCCAGGGTAACACAGTGCGAACAAAAGATTGAGTGAAGTCAAGTTGGAGTACATCTCCCTCATTATAATAACCCCCCTTCAAATATTTATACATAGTAGAATCATCATACTTGCCATCCAACAGATCTGATTTTTCCCTCCATGGTACATTGTCATGCTTAGGCATTTTCACTGTATCCTTACGTCTCTGAAAATGGGCAGATTTTAAGTCAGACTCAACTTGTTCCATGTAACCCCATAGCTTGTAAAAATTTGGTTGATTAACCACAGTCCACCAGGATATCTCCTCATGTGGAAATTCTTCTTGAAAGATCTTAGTCAGAATAAATGGAAATCCCAAACTTGACAATGTGTTATGAATAGACTCTGTGATTGAACAGCAGTTGGGTCAGTCAAGCTTGAGCGAATTGCAATGATAGTACCAAAGAAGTCCATGCCGAGAATAACACATACAGCTTGTATGGTGCGTTCGAATTCAAGAACCTTGTGTTGTCTCTTACTCTTATGGATCTTGTCCTTATGGTTTGAGGCAAGAACAGTATAAGTAGCGCACTTCCCTCCAAATGTCTCGTTATAGTCACTCAAGTATTCATCTACATAATCATTTACAAACATCCCGCCATAAGCTCTGTCGAACTCATGCATCTGCAGAAATGAAGCAACATGTGGATGCTCCTGGCTCACAATAAAGTGGTATACATTGAAAAACTCTTCCAGCTGCATCATAGGCAAATCAAACTCCAAGCTACCATCAAGTTCCAAATGAAATAATGTATAATAGGGACCAAGAAATCTATTGTTATCCTTTGCAAGCAGTTCTTGAGCTTTAAACAGATATGGAATGGCACAAGAAACAGTCACAACAGTCCCTATAACAAAATGAAGTGAAGTCACGTAGTTCAAGCATCTAGAGCAAATGCAGTCACTATAGTTGTTTGCTATTATGAAGACGGCTAACGTGTTTTGCACTAATTATTTATTTTATGCCTTGTAGGAGTAATTTCGAGCTATGTAGATGTTTATGAAATGAATTCAAGTGATTTAGAGCTTTAAAGTTTGAATAAAAGCCCAAAGAATTAAGCTGGGATCATGCTGGGGGATCAACAGATGATTGTTAAGAACGAACGAAGAATCGAGTAGGCATATTGCGCAGTGTCTAGTAAAATACACATAACTTTTCTCTCATAATTCTATTTGGGCTCCACAATAATTTTTGGAAAGCTAATTCAAAGTGCTACAACATTCAAGTTTTACGTTTTTTCAAATTCCCAACAGAACAGGGTGAAAAGTGCACGGCCGTGCACTGACCACGCATATGGGGCAGAAAGTGTGAAAAGTGTGCGGCCACACTTACAGGTGTGCGGCCGCGCACGTCTTGTCCGGGAAAAGTGTCCTTTTTCGCGTAGGAGAAGGTATAATTGTTTGGGTCCGACCCTACTTGGTATATAATACATGGAAAAACGATATTTTGAGGACTTTTAACACACTTTAGACTTAGGGAGAGCACGGAGCTGCCGTAGAGACCGGGGATTCGTCCTAAGGAGGCATGAACACACTTGGAGGAAGACGAAGAATTCTTTTACGAGTTTTTCACTCCCTTCTTCCTATTTCCATTATTGGTTATGAATTCTAGTACTATAGTTATGCATACTATTATGAATAGCTAATTTGTTATCTAGGGTTTGGATGGAACCTATTGGAGGATGATTTTCCTGTTACGTTAATATAAATTTGCTGTAGCTTTTTCTCTATTTGTTCAACTACGTTGATATTGTGGTTGGTTGAAGAGCTCTCAATCGACTATGCCTATTTAGTGGGTATTACTCGGAAGAGAGTGTATATTTAGGTAGTTGTTGAATAACATCACTCCTACCGTATATAAGGGATCAATACGAAGGGTTTAAAGGTGGGATTAGGAATAACGAAACCTTGGTGCGATCCGAGTGAGCCGTAACTTAGTGCCAGCTAGCGTAATGTAAATTGTTGTAGTTACTCGGGAAAGAATTACAACACTCAAAGAGCTCATGATCAGTAGAGAAAACATAGGCAAATTTATAGAAAACGTAGTGAAAAAGATTTCGACAATTGAGAAAATCACAACTCTAGACCGCCTTAGGCTTGTCTCAAATTTCATCTTTGTTAGTTGATAATTTTAATGCTTTATAATAGTTTTTAGTTAATTAGTTAGAAATAAACATTATAATCTCTATAATTAGGAAATTGTTTGGACTTGTATTTCTTAGCAATATTGAACAACTGTAGCTAAGCCTTAGTTCTCTGTGGGATTCGACTCCGAACTTGTAAACCAGATTATATTTGCAACGACTGCTTAGTCCATTTTATAAGGCACAGTTGGACGTGATCAATCCACTCGATCAATCAATTTCTCACATTCTCAGGAGCTTCCCTTGAAGGAAACAGTGGTCTGTGCGGGTTTCCTCTCAAAAATTGTAAAAGCAATGACTCAGAGGTAATGCTGCCACCAATTTCTCTAGAAGACTCAGATTTTGACTGGAAGTTCATTTTTGCAGTTGGTGGATACATAGTAGGGGTAGAAAATCCTGTTGCACTTCTGTGGTTCTACGAGCCGGTGAAGATATGGTTTGACATACGTATAGAGAAATGATTGCTTTGGTTTTCAACAATGGTAGGGTTCGGCACATTATCGTCTCCGACAATGATTTTGGAGGAGAGATTACTTTGAATATAGAAAATTAAAATTAAATTTTTCACAAAATCGAGAAAAATTGTGTACTTGAGATGAAACCTTAAAACTCGAATTGCAATATGTAGTTCCTCAATTGAATGAATCTAAAACAGATTAGCCAAAGAATAATAAAAACTAGGTAAAAAATGAAGACTAGGCTCTGATACCATGTCAAACTTCAAAGAATTTGAGGTGAAGTTGAGCTCACAATGCGTTTGGCGAACATAGTGAAAAACTAGAGAGAGAATTATTTGATAATATCTTCCAGATTCTGGAGCTCAAAATGAATTAACTACTAAAAATAAAATGTTTACACATTTACTTATACAAAAGAATCTGCCAATTGCCAACTAACTGTACACCTA